ATTTCATTAGCTCTTCTTGGAACAAACAAACTTCTTAGTCATTTGCATTACTGTGTGTACTTGCTTCCCCATGATTTTATTACTCCAGTTGCCAATAGTCCACTTGAGTGGAAAGTAGACTGTAGTCTATGGCACAGGTTCCACAGCCTTCTATTGTATCTTTGGCTAGTCCACTAACATATTCAAGCCTCAAGTTTCTTACTTGTAGAGAGAAAAGAAGGTATTTTGTCTACTGGTTATGAAGATAGAGTAGATTTTAATATTTATGTTGCCTGTTTCTTTCAGGGTATGACTTGCGTAATTCATCTCTCTAATCCTCAGTTTCCCTATATAACATTAGGTCATTCAATAAGTCACCAGAAATTTATATAACTTAACCATATATATACATATATATACATATTAGAAGAATGTGTGTAACTTAGGAATACACACACACACACACACACATACACACAACGTGTTTAAATAAAGTACCAATGACTAACATGTACAAAAACAAAAGGAGGACCTATCTCCATTCATCCCTGCTTGTTAAAAGGGATATCCTATTTAATATGACACCTGAACAAGTCTTAAAATAGGAGTAAATGTCAACTACCTTTCAAAAATGGATAGGGCTGTCTGGAGAGATGGCTCAGTGGTTAAGAGCACTGGATGGTCTTGCATAGAGCCCGGGTTAAATTTCCACCACCCACATGGTGGCTAACAGCTGTCATAACTCTAGTTCCAGGGGATCCAATGCCCTCTTCTGACCTCCCAGGCATTGCATGACACAAGTGCACTTACATACATGCAGACAATATACTCATACACATAAAATAAAAATAATAAATAAAATATTTTTAAATATAAAAACTGGGCAGGGTTTTCCAGATAAGAAAGAGAAATATAGATACTAGGATATGAAACAATATTTTTCATGGGAGAAAAATGCATAAAATTTAAACTAGAGAGAGAATCTAGAATACATCCAGGCCAGAGGGAGCTTGGATTTATTTTATAGACACACTGAAAGGTTTTAAACAAAGAAGTATCCAAGATCGAATTCATTATAAAATAAAGCATTGTAGCTAAAGTGTAAAACATCTATTTAAGGAGTGATAAGTGGGCAGGAAAGGACAAATTAGAAGGCTGTGGCATTCATCCAAGCAGACATGATGCTCTAAATAACACAATTGTAGTACTCACTGGAGTAAGTTTACGAAACACTTAGAATTTTGTAAAATAGACAAGCCTCAGTGACTACTGGCATGTGCGTTGGATGGACAATGGAGAAAAAAGATGGAGGTCCACTCCTGTGGCCATTAAGAGTAGATTAACCTTAAATTATTTATTGTTATACCCCTAGATTAACACACCCCTCAACTCTCAACAGAAAGTTTTCCTCATGCAGCAGATGGTGATTAACACAGAGAGCCACACAGGTCAACATGCAGAGAATAAGAGGCTGCAGAATATTTACACCTGAATAAGACACCAAACCTTTGCCACCCAAAGTTCAGGAATCCTTGGAGAACTTCTATCAAAACTCTGTCTCCCAAAGTTCAGGGATCATTGCAGAAGCGCAGGCTGAAAGACTGTGAGAACCAGAAATGGTAGATAACCACAAGGAAACAGAGTTTTCTAGACAGCTATGCAGTTACTCACATGAACTCACAGCAACTCACCACCTAACCTCAACCAGATGTGTTCAAAATACTTGTTTTGAAGGAATGAAGGGGTCCTGGAAAACAGTGAGGCTTGGCACTGTGAGAGTCCAGGAAAGGACATTGGTAAGGATGTGGCCTCAGTTGCAGTGAAGATCCCTGGATTGAAGGGGTCATGGGAGAATCTGAGGTTTTGCACCCTGAGAGGCCAGGAGAGCCCACTGGTGAAGGTGCAGATTCAGTTTCAGTAGAGACTCCAGCATAGTGGGGATGCCAAGACCATTGGATGACCACCAAGGGCAGTGGCAGGTGTGGAGTGGAGCTGGCTTGAGATTACAAGACAAGCTGTGTGTGCTGTGGACAACACAGCTGGAGAAGTGGAACTTTCCAAACCCTTTACTCCAATTGAGGTTCCCTCTACCAAGGTGTGTAAAGTTGACAACTAAAGCTAGCCAGCACAGTAAACAATACTCCAGTGGATATCCCCATACAAAAGGGCATTTCGGGACACAAATGTAACTCGATAGGCCGTGTGTGTCTGTGTGTGTGTGTGTGTCTGTGTGTCTGTGTGTGTGTCTGTGTGTGTGTCTGTGTGTGTGTGTCTGTGTGTCTGTGTCTGTGTCTGTGTCTGTGTGTGTGT